ATCTCTGTTTGTGTACCCTATACTTTGTCATAGTCATTCTCTGCGTTTTTGTCTTTTTCTGTTTATACTTCTATGCCTAAATCAATATCAATGTCTAGATGCATGTCGATATCTATATCCACGTCCACGTCCACTTCCAAGTCCACGTCCATGCCCACATCTGTGTCTGGGTCTTTGCCCATGACTGTGTCTGTATCTACGTCTATGTCTGTGTATGTCTTTGTATCTTGTCTTGTCCTTGTCTAGTCCTTGTCTTTGTCTGCGTGTCTGTCCGTGTCCATATCCATGTCCATGCTTATGTTAGCATCTGTGTCTTTGCCTTGGTCTGCGTTTTTGTCTTGTCTTTGTCTGTTTTTGTGTCTGTGTCTCTGTCATGTCCGTGTATGTGTATTTCGTTTGTCTTGACTTTGTCTTTGTCTACGTCAATGCCAAAGTCTATGTCAATATCCGTCCCCATGTCTATGTCCATGCCCAGGTCTGTATCTGTGTCTTTATCTGTGTGTTTGTCTTGTCTTTGTCTGTATGTGTGCCCATAACCATGACCATGTCCGTGTACATGTCCTTGTCAGTGGCTATGTCTGTGTCCGTGTATTTGTCCTTTCTTGTCTTTGTCTTCTCCTATATTTGTGTTTTTGTCTTGGCTTTTTTTGTATCTGTATCCGCGTCTTTGTCTTTGCCTGTGTTTTTGTCTTGTCTATATTTGTATCTCTTGTCGGCGTCGGTGTACGTGTCGTTGTCCATGTCTGCGTCTTTGTATCTGTATATGTGTATTTTTCTTTGGTCTGTGTCTGTGTTTGTGCCTAGGTCTATGGCTATGTCCATTTCCATAGCCATGTCTACATATGTCTATGCCTGGGATTGTGTTTGTGTTGTCCTTGTGTTTGTCTTGTCTGTGTCTGTATCAACTGATACCAAATAACCAACTTGGGGTTAGATATTTTGCCGGATCGTTATAAATACCTCACTTTTAATCAGCTATGGCAAACTAACTTAAAGTGAGTTGTGAAGTCAGGCAAGATTTTTTTTCCACATATACGAGTTTCGATTTAAATATCCTCGTACAGAAAATACTTAGCATACACTTTTTCTGCACTTCATAGGTGCTTTTTCGAATTCTGCACAAATAAAATGAAGATCGAAATTTTAAAATATCATTTTGTTGTTTTCGCTTACGGAGTTCGAATAAAGGACCCTCAACAACAGAACAAGTTAACAAAGAAACAAATATGCGATAATAAATAAATTGAAAATAAATAAATAAACGTTTAACAAATTTTAATATATTTTTTTCTTATTGATATTTCATATACAAACGCAGTTAGTTACTTGTTACTTGACTAAAGCAGAGAAATCTCAATACAAAAATAATTAGTTACGGCCGAAGGAAATAAGTAATAAAAAGTTGTATCTAGTAGACTGCTGGATATGTCCATTTACATTACCATGTCAACATGCGTCTATTGCTGTGTTTGTTTTTGTCTTTTTCAGTGTCTATGTCTGTGCCAGTGTACAAGACTGTGTCTAAGTCAACGTCAATGCCAATCTGTATCCACGTCCACGTCCACGCCCATGTCTGTGTCTGTGGCTTTTTTGTGTTGTCTTGTTGTTGGTATCTATTTCTGCGTCTGTATCTGCATTTGTACAATGACGGTATCTGTGTCCATCTCTATGCCTTTGTCTTGTATTTGTGTTTGTATGTGTGGCTTTTTTATTTGTGTTTGTCTTTTTTGTGTCTGTGTCTGCGTATGTACCTGTATGCGTACCTGTGCCTGTGTAGTGACTTTATCTGTGTTTTTGTCTACATCCTTGCCCATGTCCATGTCCGTGGCTGTGTTTTTGTCTTGTCTTTGTCTATATATGTGTCCATTTCCATGTCCGCGTCTGTGTCTGTATCTGCGTATATGTCTATGCTCGTTTCTTTGTCTTTATCTGTATATATGTCCACGTCCATGTCCATGTCTGTGTCTATGCCCGTCTCTTTGTCTTTATCTGTATATATGTCCACGTCCATGTCCAAGTCTGTGTCTGTGTCCGTGTCTTTGTCTTTTCCTATATCTGCGTTTTTGTCTTACCTTTTTCTGCATCTGTGCCCTTGTGTATGTCCTTTGTTTAGTCTGGACTTTGCCTATTCTTCTGTCTGTGTCTGTATCTGTTGATGTGTCTAGTCTTTGTGTTTGTTTTTGTCTTCGGCCTTGCCTTTGCCTGTGTTTATGCCCTTGTCTGTGCAAGTATCTGTATGTGGACTAGTCTTTGTCTTTGTGTTTGTCCTTGTCTATGTGTTTATGTTTGTCTTTGTATATATTTGTCTGTGTCTGCGTGTTTACCTGTATGCGTACCTGTGTCTATGTCCATATCTGTGGCTTTGTCTTACCTTTGTGTTTGTTTTTGTCTTTGACTGTATCCGTATCTGTATGTGCGCTTTGTTTTTTATTTGTGTTTGTGTTTATATTTGTCTCTTTTGTGTCTGTGTCTTCGTCTGTACCTGTGAATGCATCTGTGCCTGTGTTTACATCTGTGTTTGTTTTTGTCTTTGTGTGTGTCTGTGTCAGTATGTGTGCCTGTCTTTGTCTTTGACTTTGTTTTTGCCTTTGCCTTTGCCTTTGTCTTTGTCTTTGTCTTTGTCTTTGTCTTTGTCTTT